AATTTTCTTGATTGACATTTTCCTTCAAATCATGGCGTGTAAATTGACAAATCTGTCAGATTTCACACCTGACAAAAATTTGTCCTGCTCCGAGGCAGGACGACGGCGTCTTTGAAGTTTGGTAAGCCTTGACAAAATTTGGTAGATCTAAAAATCACCGGACGCACTTGTCTCAGGGAATTGATGACAGATTTTTTCGCAAAATAAACAAAAATTTGCCCAGTGCGTCCGGGCCCTAAGAGGGACTCTCCTTATTTATTTTCTGACTGAGTTGATTATTATTTGCGATGTATTTCACGATTCAACTTAGCTCGCAAAAATTAAGTACGATTGTAGAGAAAAATATGTTTTTCAATATTTTCAAGAGCTCTCGAATGTACTGACTTATTCGGAAAATAGGTGATCCATGGTCTAAGAAAAGATAAAGTGAACTTCTGAAGTGCTCTTCATATTGTGTTTGTTGAAGCAAAAGATTGGAAATGTCAGTGATACTTTAGAAACAAAGGGAAGTAATGAAATTGTTAATTAACAAAATGTCACGATGAGCAGTATTAGATTTCATACCCGTCAAGTTGGTTGGTTGTGGAAAAATCGTTCTGCCAAACTTTCACTAGTGTTTTTATCCAATTAAGAATTGGATTACGAGTTCGAGATTTTTAACTCGGAATATTACTCTAAAACCTGACGTCCCAAACACTCGCCTAACTGCAACTTGTGGCTCCGCATTTCTAGTCAGCCTTCCAAACTTTCCGATTCACGTTTCAATAACTGGATAGAAATAGGAAAAATGTAAATTTTTCACTTGGTGTTATGTTACAAGAGGTTATAAAGCAGACACTGTTAAACTTTTTTGAGGAGCTTTATTAATTTCTTAACGCTTCCTGACAATGTTACCAACATACAATGCGAGCGGAAAAAACAAGTTTTAACCCCTTGCCAAAAAAAAAAAGACGCAAAACAATCATACGAATTACAACCGTGGCAAATATACTAGCAAAACGTTTGTCCGATTTCATCTTTAATGTTGACATCTCATCCCTGTTCGCAGATTACTTGGGAATGATTGCCTTGCCTTGAGCGTCGTGGCTGAATGGGCAGACATGGGCATTGAACGGGCAGTTACCTAGCTCCTTCTGCCCAGCTTCATTGATAGCATGAAGCTCTTGAAAGAACTTGGTGTAGGCAGCTTTTCCTTTGGTGCAGGTGTCACGCATCTGGGTCAACTTCTCGACGAAGTCGCCGACACTCTTGCAGATTTTGAACGGGCAGCCTTCTTTGAAAGCGGGACAGTTGCCAGCCAGACCCTTGCACTTGG